ATAGATCGGGGCAAAGCAATACACCTCATCTATATCGGCTATCTCATTTTCTATTATTTAACTTCAATTTCGATATATTCGAAATCTTCTCTTATATAAAAATTTTATCATTAATCTTATTTCTATCATTTTTCTAAATTTAATTAAACCTGTTATAAATTTAGCTGGGATTATAAGTACTTTCTTATTTATATCATTAAAGTTTAATTCTCATTTTGAATTTGAAAGAGATTTATTTATTTCCGTTTGGGCTCTAAAATTTTAGGAAGGAACATACGACAATTTTGATTACGAATAAGGGCGTATTTCTGTACGTAATAAATTCCGCTTTATTTCATCCCTTCTCACGTTGAAAGCAATCCGCCTTTATTTCCTGGACGTCACGACGACCGCGGTCATGTCGCTGCTGTTCGGTATTATTGACGTTTTTGCCGAGATATTTGGGCCGTATTGATAAACTCAGTTTTACAGAGCGACTTGCGCGCGAGATGAAAAACAACGATCGGTGATTCGATGGGACGAAAGCAATTAACCGTCCTCTCTCGAACGAGCGTCCGTGCAGTCATCATCAAGCGGCGGATCATCATCGTCGCGATATCGCGCCGCGATATCTCCAGCTTCCTGTCGCTTTCGTTCGGTCGGTTGGATCTCATCGAAAATGGAAAAGAGAGAGAGAGAGAGAGAGAGAGAGAGAGAGAGAGAGAGAGAGAGAAAGAGAGAAAGATGCGGGCACGAAGTCCCGCGATGCGACGCCACGAAAGCAATTAAATTGCGCGCTCGGGAATATAGTTACTGCGGTTGCGATGCTATATCTCGAGACTATTGACCATTTCCCGCCCCCACCGGCGGGACGTACGCCGGGAATTTAGAGATGAATCCTATTTTGCGGGGTATCCAAAAGCGGAGGAAATTATACGAATCACTCCAATTTCGGGATTAACCCGAAAGCACGTCTGGCTGCACGTTTACCTACGCCATCGTTAAAGCGAACGTCTCATGCGTGCGTTACGAGATAATATTATAAAAACGTCCGGGACGCTTTTTCCGCTTTGTCCGATAAAGTGTACTCTCATTGGGAAAAAAAGGTATCGCGAGCACAGGGGCCCTTTGAGAGGATCGGTGAAAGAGAACATTTAGTGCACGCTACCTTTCGATATGATCTTGTGCATCTGCACTCTGCAAGTTTGTGACTAAGCTTTTTTCATGTTACAAAATATTCTAGGTATGTCGTTGATGCGTCGCGGTGTGCCAAATAATTTCAAAAATAGTTGCGATACTTCTCCCAGATATAACAGACACGCCTACGTGCCTCTGCTCCTATTTTCACCTAAGAACCCTCTCTTCGTCGTAAAGACTTGCTTGGAGACGACTCCGCGTTATTTCTTGCGATATGGTGAATATTTATAGACATTAGTTATAACGTGAAATATCTAATGATGTTTATTCATATTTATATTTGAACTCCATTTTAGACCTTCGCGGTAAGAATTTGATACAGAATTTTAAATATACTGTATAATCTAATATATGTGCATGAATATGGATATTTATTTTATATACACTAATATATTCCAATTCTTCAAATGTTTTCCGCACACATAAGATAAAATAATAAATATAATCTTATTCGAATCTATTGCGAATTGTAGGTTCTTAAAATGTGTTGAAGTAACATGTTCTTATTTTGTATAACAGAATGTTCGTTATTTTAACAGTTATGTTAATCGAGTAACGTAAGCTCGGTTGAAAATGGAGGACGCTTTAATTATATACATATAAATCCCGAATGTCCGTTGGCGAGTTGATTAATGTTACATTTCTGAATAGCTCCTTTGTGAATAAATGGTTAAATCTGTATAAGAAGTGGATGTTATACGGATGTTATTTATCCGATAACTCGCGAGTTGAGCAATTTTATACGCTATCTAATTCATAAAACGTTCTATAACACTTTATCAAATGTTGTATTACACCTTACATGCGCATCATGTCTATTCCAAGCGTATATAGTATTGCTAGAAATTGTTTTCACAAATGTTTTAGTTCAATAGTTACGTAATCTTCATTATTCATCGAAAAATCTTCTTCATCTTTATAAATCCTTTATTTTTACAAATATTATCTTTATAAATCCGAATAAGATCACACCGGATATATTTTCGACAGTACATTTCGGAGGATAAACTAAGAAAAATGACTAAATAAAGATGACTAAATAAAGATTGATGGAGTTTTAAAATTATTCAATATTACAGACATTGACGAATAGAGTTTTAAAGTTTCAAGATGATAATAAAATCTGGCCTGATTAATTTCGAAATTCTTGAGTAAATTTTATTTAAAACACAGTTGACAAAATATTAAATATTGAAACTTAGAAATGTATAATAAATGGCGGTTTATATAAAACTTTTCTTCTAAAAAAAACTAAGGAAAAAAGGAGAGATGCTAAAAACATTCAGTTCTAAAAAATTCTACAACAAATATATTTATTATTGTATAACTATATCAGTCAGAATTTCTTTTCCGCCAGTCAACTAGCTTTAGACTAGAGTTTCCAATTTCGGTCGTCAAACGCTATAAGTTCAGTATCAAAACACTCATATAAGAGTGACTCGATAAGGATTCGCGCGCGAATGCCAAAGTCGGAAAAATGCTCAGGGTTCAAAGGGTCAAATCCTTCTCGGAGGCGGCCTCAGCCGAATTATTATCGATCCGCTCGCTCGTCGAATTCACGAAGCCGCGCGGCCTTCCACGGAGCGTGACAGAACGATCGTCCGTCGCGAGTTCACGTGGCTTCTATTGATTTACTACGAGCCCACCGGTTTCGCGAAAGACCACACCGCCGCCGCCGCCGCTGCCGCCGCCGCCGCCGCCGCCGCCTCCTCCTCCTCCTCTTTCTCCTCTTCCTCCTTCGTCGCCTCCGCGACTGCCCGCCGTGAAAAGTTACCCGGCAGATCGATCCGATGTCAGTTGGAATCTGCTCGTAACCTGCTGTCTGGAGTATACGGTCACGCTATTCCGCAACAATGTGTCACGGAGGTTCGTTGACACGACGTACGCCGCGGGCGGCACGAGGCTCTAACTCCTCTTCGCGATCCGCCGAGATTCTCGAAAGGCGAAAGAATTCGGCTTTAGGAATTGTTATTCCGAGAGATAGTACACTCCATTGAATATGGCACGGGTGAATCTTTGTTAAAATGTCTTAGCATCGTTTAGGAAATAATAGAAATGGGAATAAAGAAATAATGCAATACATGATAGCGTGATGACAGCATGAGAGATATCAAATTATATTATAAACAAAATTATAAACAATTATAAACAAAAAGTTTTATCTACTCTCTAAAATGTCATTTATATATCTAAATCTGTGTTTATACATTTTTACTACAAATGAAGATTACAACGCAGCACTTTCTTTTTCACTTTAACGTGATTACTGAGGAAATTTAATAAATTTCATGTACTTGGAAGTTTTGATGTTTCATTTAATATTTAAATAATACGCGTGCGATGAGAACAACATTCTTGTTTAGAAAAAAGCTCGAGTTATCTAACAATATCTTATTCTTCTTCTTCTTTAAGCGATTATTCAATGCAATGAGAAATCGATTACGTAATATTGCCTGAAGAGCCAAAAAAACGAAGAGTGAAAAGTCATAAATCTTTTCGAAGTTTTTGTTGAGTTATTCAAAAGAGATGAAAATAGGAGATAAAAAGACGTACCAGACGTATACCAGTTATGATATTTGATAGTATAAAATTCATGTAGCTTCCTCCGACTTAAGATAAAATTAAGCATAATTGAAATATTGGAATATCGCTATCTCAAAGCCACGTAAGAGTTATACACATCGTATAGTCTGTCGACAATGTATATGATAATCTCCGACATTGATCAACATCAGTTCGATAAAATTGAATACTTTCTGAATAACAATTATGTAGTAAGTTTGCTTATATTGATGCTTAAAGATCTTCCTGAAATTATAATCGACGTAATCAACAATATGCTCGATTCAAAATACATTGCGTCGTTTTATATTATCTTCAATCTCAATATGAACAATTATTGATTTAAAATTAATTTAAAAATGAGGAATTTTGTGTATTGTGAAAAAGAGAAAATGAGAGAGAAAGAGTGAGAGAGATTTGTAATTGATTCAAAATAAAAAAAATTATCTACAACATGAAATACATAACAAAAAGCTTGGAAAGATACAATATCGATTGCTTGCCCGCAAATTCAATTAAAATATAGTTAAGTCATAAAATCTGCTCGAAAATTATATCACGAAAAGTGTAATATTTTTTAATACGTCGTCGGCATATAATCGGTTATATTGATTGCGGTTATACCGAAGAATGTAGAATGCGTAAAACTCGATAAATCAACCGATGCGAGTTGATTTTAATTCTCTTACGTGCAGTTGCTAATTATTCAAAAGTATAAAATTCGATATACACGCGTTCTCGAGATATCTCGATGACTTCACTTTAAATTTGCTGCACCCCAAGAATCAAATTGAACGTGCATCCGATGCAGCGTGATGGTTCATGACGTATCGTCTAGCAGCATGCAAGACAGCAACGCCACGCGCATTTTCAAAAGGGAAGTTGTATGTGTGTGAGTATATGTGTACGCGTGTGCAAGGATCCTGTAAGTTCACCTGCCGTCAGAGGCACGCAGGATCAAGGACAAGTTGTATGACGAGGATGCGACGGACAGTCAGACGGACGGATGGATGGAGACGGCGAACGGAGGGATGGAGCACGAGAGGGATGGAGCACGAGAGGGAGAACACAAGGGAGAGGACATAAGATGAAAGAGAGCAGGTCGCAGGCCGCAGGGCGTACGGGCTACATCCGTACCTCCTTACTTCGGCAAAATCAATAACCTGTTGGGGGTGTAGGAGAGAACTTAAGGAGAGAGGCCATAGTGCGGCACCGCCACGCCGGATCCGCGCGATTCAGGTGATGCGATTTTTGATACATACGCTATCCGACAGCCAGATGCTATAGCGTTTCCCGTGCGCGCCAAGTGAACGGCTCCTCCCGACCAGGACTCCGATGCTCCGGTGTTGCGCAGGAGTGCGAGGATACACACCTTCCCTCACCCCCCCCCCGGTCGTATGCCACCCTCCCGCGAGCCGAGTTCCTCCGCACCTGCGACACTCCCCGGTATATGTGCAACCTCCACCCCGGAAACCACCCCGGCAGGAAAACAGCCGCTCGTTCTAGCCGGGCTAGACGAGCAGGCACATACGGCAGGTGTATCCGGATCGGGGGCGAGGAGTCACCGCGAAATTCGAGCGGCGTGTACAACGTACGCACGGCTCCGTGCTTCGACTCGCTCGTCAGGTTACACCAGCTCACCGTCGTCGCTCACTGGAACCGGCAACTTGACCGACGATCACCGGAACCACGGCGATCCCGTCGGGGATCCGACCGCGACAACGACAACGACAGCGTAGTCCTCTCCCTACACTTCCGCCGCACGGCGCACTTTCACCCGCAAGTCCCCTCGGGAGCCGCGGCGCTCGCCTTCCGGAGCATCCACCGGCGCGGCCTGAATAACGATCGACGCGGGACACGAGATTAACACGATTACCACGGGGGGTAAAACGTACGCGGCTACGCACTCCTGCACGATTGCTCCCCCGTCAACGGGGCACACTCTGCAAATCCTCCGGACAACGTCGCGGGGAACGTCGCGCCGACCCCTTTCGCGCTGGGTGGCGCCCTCGGGAGAGACAGGGTACTCCGGTACGCGCGCGGCTCACTCCGTACACCGTAGTACCGCACCACGCTTCTTCTCCTCTCCGGGCTCCTCTGCTCTTCCGCTCCCTCACGCGCAACTCCGAAACGAGGCGCAACTCGAGAGACGCAGCGCGCGCGCTTCGAGCTATCGCGACTGTGGGGCGCGGACCACTACCTCGACGAGCCTCCCGGATCGTTGGATAAAACTTGGTGGGGCCGTTCCGGTCGACGTGCGAACTCCCCCCTCTTCATCGTCGTCCCCACCACCGAATGGTCGACCGATGGTCCCGCTCTACCTCCACCTCATCCCCTTCGTTCTCTATATACGCGGCCCCTCGTCCTCTCCCACCCCTTGCCTAGACGACTCCACCATCACACCAACGCTACCGCCGCCGCCGCTGCTACCGTCGCTGCCATGAGGAACGTCGAGCAGCGTCGTGTCACCCCCTCGGAGGGGGGTTACGGAGTACGCGCGCGCACGAGCGCGCGTTCACCCTCGTGCACGAGCCACGTTCGGTCGGTCGCCTGCGTGCCGTTAAAGTTGCCCTCGCGCGCGTCACCCCAACACCGACATCTACGATCGAGAATGAAGATAACGCGGCAAGTAGCGAGGTTGAGGGTGATCAGGGGGAGCGGGGGGTCGATGCGACGGGGTTGCCTCTCGGATCCGATGGCCTGCGGATTCTTGGCAAGCAAAGCTCGCCAGATAGAAGCCCGGGGGAGATTTCTCATAACGTATTACACACGCGAATAGCCGGAAGTCCAGGGGGAGGGTATGAGGAATCGCGAATCTGATTCTTTCAATCGAGTTTCATGCGATTTCTTTTGTTATCACGTTGTCTCGTCGCCAATATTCGAAAAGAGCAAATAGTAAATTGTAAACGAATCAACGAATCAACGATTCATGATCGATGAAATACTGTGTCGAAATATTTCTTCATGTTTTTGTCTTTACTAATTTCTGTTTTGCTAAATAAATGATTAAATTTCAACAATTTACATTTGCTAGAATTACGTTCACTTTGTTAGTAACTTATGGAACAGACGATTTTTGCAAAAATTAGAAGTCACTTTCGCGTATACGTGACTCATTATTATAAAATTACAGACGTATAAGAATAACGGTTAATTAAATTTTATGCTATCGCGTTATTATTCCTGGAAAGTTTTTGTAACAATAGCGTAGCAAAAAAACATCAGCGATCTTCTCCTCGATATGTGAATCGTTGAAATAAAGTCCCACGGAAGAAGACAACGTGAAAAAGGCCGGAGACGGAAAGTCGCTTTATCGGGACGATGCCATTTAACGACATTTTAAAGTTAATTAACGTTGCATATTCATCTTTCTCTTTTTCGTTTTCTTTTTCTCTTTTTTTTTCTTTTTTGTAACTACGACGGGGTGAGCCGCCTCATTTGCATACCTTCTAGGAGGCGGTGGAGCATCTGGCTGCGATAAGGAATCGAAGCGGTAGACCGTAGCTAGCTCGTTAATGAACCGGAAGATACACTAAATGCGAAAGAGAGACCCGGGTGAATAACTTCACCTGGTGCACTGCGCCGACGAAAGTTTCGATCTCTTCCACCTCACGATACCGCAATAGACACGACGGTGCGCGGAACGTGTGGCCTTACTTCGTACGACATCTGGACATACCTAAAATTCATCGCGGCGCACTCCGAACGCCCGGCATCCTAAATTTGTCGTAATCTCGCACTGGACGTCTCACGCGACGGACACCAGAAGCTGTATGGTATGCACGGATTGTACATCTGTTTTTCTATCTTCCGCTTTCGTAGGAAATGTCCCACCACGTAAAAGAGATCACATTCTCATCTAAAATCAAGTGGTATTATTGAACATTTTGTTTTTTAATTAAAAAACATACTTGAAACAGAATTTACTAGAAATGATGATTATATGATTTGTTAAATATGCATTGCTTTTTGCTGTTGGTATTTGTAATAAAGATGTTTGATTAAGATGCAATGACAAATTTTTATCGCAGAATTTTTGTTAACGGATTTTGTAAGATCAAAGTTATTTTTTTCAACGTTTATGTAAGGGATGACTGTTGAAGGGTGTAATGTAAGGTTAGAAGTAAGTCGAGAAAATAGGGATGAAAGGCAGAGACAGCCGCATACTACGAGACATGTATTTAGGGTGACACTAATAACAGAATGGTGAGAATTATTGATCTAGAATAATATGAAGAGAAATAGCGACAATCCTGCTTTTATTGTTGGACAGTAATAATTTACCAGTAAAATAGAAATTTATTACGTCGATGTAATTATAATTTTCTCAACTTTGAATATATTCTAATAATTAAAGTAAAATTTCTAATAATTAAATTAAAATTCTGTTAAAGTAAACCTAAAATGATGATTTTTTTTCTTTGATTACATTTTCTATAAATTTAATTTTTTAATTACTTAATTTTTAATTTTTAATATTATATAATTTCATTAATGAGAAATTTCTTCACGTATACTTATTCGATAATAATAATAAGAGCTTCAAATATAATTAGCATTACGTAATTAATTATATCGTTTTCAAAAATAAGCTTGTTTCATTGTACTCATGTTTCATTTTTCTCTTTTATCAAATTTTCTTGAAAATAAATTTATTTAGAAAATAGATAAAAAATACACTGCCATATTTCCGGATATTTATAGAAAATGTAATTAATTACGCACAATTACATCTTAAGTTTTTATTAATCTTTGTAAGTTATTTTGTAGGTATCGCAACCTTGCCTTAAAGTGGCTAATCAAGTAATCATTTTTTTCTTAGTTCACTCTTTAATGATTTCTGTAATCAATTAGAGAAATCATTAAAAAGGACTAAGACTCCGTTATAAGATAGAACGTCATATTTTCGTAAAGCGATACAACAGAGTAGTATCCTGACATTACCTTTTTGCATCACAGCGCGTTTCCTCAACCACTACTTTTACTTGAATTTTGCCTCGTCCGAGGCTATTATTCAAGTCCTTATTATTATCGGCAGCCGGCTTACGCACATTACGTACATTACGTATTATGCACGACCGGATGCAAGAAAGTGCAGCACGTGCCATGTTCATTCGCGCACCGCCGGTCCCTCTTTCTTTTCAGCCGGTGATCAGCCGGTTGTCTTTCCTGTTCTCTCTTCCTGTACCCTCGCTACGAACAACGTAACCCTCGTCGCAGGGTGCCTACCGAAACACAAAACGTCACGATTCACGACTTGCAGTCCGACGAAACCTGATAAATGACGCAGTAACGGTATCGACGAAGGCTGGAAGATTAATGGCCTCGTTGTCGCGCGACGTTACGACGATTCAACACGAATTTCCAATACGGGACGAAATGCAATTAGATATAGTTGCACCGACAACGACTCGGTTAACTAACGGAGTTTTCAGAGATTTTTCAGATGACAACTTCCTCATGCTAAATCAATCACACGAAGATAACGACTTTGCTGAAATGAACTAAAAATTCAGCCTGATCTGTAGTTAGCCAGATTTTTAAATGTTTTAATCTTGATTAAGATAATATAAAAAAAAATAACGTGATGGCTACTGACAATTATTGGCGCAATTATTACTTAGAAAATACAATTGACGATTTTGCGATGGAAGAAAGGCGTGGTTCTCAAAAGATCCCAAAAGATCTTTTTGTATTTCGCCCGCACACACTGACTTACGCGCCACCGCTATCTATCTATCTATATATA